CGGTTTACTCGATTAGTGGAAAGAAACGGAGATTCGCACGGGAAAGTCACGCGATCGGCCCGTTTGAATAAAATTGCACGATGAAACAGGTAGGCAATCGGTAATATCGTGACGCGAATTTCATTATTATTCGCGCGTCAATAAGTCCGTTGCGTTCGTTTTCTCATTACTTACAATCTTTTTCTTTTTCACGATTTAAATGTCGTCGCTAACGCGACCTTCTTTTTTTTTCTTCTTCTTTTTTTGTACATCTAACAAGAAACATGCGTGATAATTATTCAAATGCAATTCAAATCTATGTGCAATTATAATCCGAATTCCGTACGTATTTCGTTATTTATTAGTGAGCGTAATGAGAGTGAAAACGAGAGAATAACGTTAAAGTTGTCTACAAATTGTCTCTTGAATTGTCTGTGGTTGATCTAACGGATATAGATTCGGCATTGAGTGTATCGAAAAGGGCTACTTTACATCCACATTTATATCTACACGTTTCTTAATAATCCTCTCGAAAAGAAAATTTTAAAATATTTCAACTCCGATTCCCTTCGATACGTAGCTACATATTTTTCATTCGGTTACACATTTGTAACCGTTTATCGAAAACACAGAAGATAGCCTATGTATTACTCATGTTGGACAGGTAATTTACACAGGTTGTTAAAAAAAAGAAAAACTGTATGCAAAATAAGCGATCCTCGTATTATTATTATTATTCATATTCGTATTCGTCGTTGTTCAATAGTTCATAAAAACCGATCGGCGTGATCGCTCGTCGTCTGCCAGTTATCGGTCAGATATCGCGAGCATCGTCGTACGATTGTGTCACGCAACAGAGAGAGAGCGAGCGAGCGAGCGAGCGAGAGAGAGAGAGAGAGAGAGCGCGACGAACAAGAGGTGAGGGAACGATCGAAAGACGAGCACGGCGGCGAAATCGCGGATCGAATATGGGTGAATGGAGAGAGAGTGTGGCTGGTCGCGGCGACGCACACGGGCGCCGCGGCAAGCGCAGAGCGCGCGATCCTCGAGCGAGCGAGCGAGCGAGCGAGCGAACGAAGCCAGTGCGAGTGCAACGTTTCTCCCGCTAGTGTCAGTGCCAGTGCCAATCGTGCGCCATTCCTACCGTTTGCCGGAAGACGAGAGCGTTCAGAGATCGCGTGCCTCTCCCCCCTCTCTTTTTTTTCCTCGTTCCACTCGTCTTCACACGCGTTTCGCGAACGGAACGATGATCGTTTGACGGTCGAGGACTACTGGATTCGAGGAAGGGACTAATATATCGAGCGAATATTTATATATATATATATATGTATATATAGATATCGGTCGAACCTGTTTTTCCTGAACAAAAGGGAACGTTGTTGGGACGATGGATATTTAGGAAACGTCAAACGTTAAACTAGATCGGCTGGATATTTATTCATCGGCGAAACGGTTAAGGTTAAAAACTATATAATATACGCTTATTATAGTCTTTTCTCTCGATTGTTGGTGGATAGACGTTTGCGTGAATAGACGCGGAGTTGGGACGCGGAGACGAGACGAAACGCGAGAGAGAGAATGACGCGAGTCCACGGATCGTACGATCGATCAATTTTCAACAGGGAGGGTAGCTCTGGTAGGCAACAAGCAGCAGCGTGGCTTGTATCGTTACATAACTTCGACGCACTCGGTTATTCGAACGGCAAAACCACTGACAAACACACATACACACGGGGCGAGGGGGGAGGGGGGAGGGACGTGTAATTTTCTTCCCATGCTCGCGAAACCGGACACTACCACACCACTAGTTTCTTTTCCACTTCGTAACGTCCACTCCCCTCCCCTTTCTCCCTCCCTTCTCCCCACTCCGCTACGTAAACAAGTTCGCGTTTCCTTCTTTAATCGCCCTACCGATTTTCGACCGTGGACGTCAAGAAGAGAGGCTCGGTTTCTTGTATCTCGGCCAAAAAAGTCTCTCTCTCTCTCTCTCTCTCGGCATCGTCGTGTGCTCGAGAAACGTCATTCTCGCGCGGGGTACAGGAAGTTGTCGCGTTGTTTGTTTCCGTTTCAAGGGCAGCCCCTCGTCCCGCCCGTGTCGTGAGCTAGGAAGGATCGATTCGAGAGGAGGAAACGCGAGGTTTTTCGTTCGGCGATCGTGTTTCGAACCGTGTGCCAAGCGGAGACGACGAGAAGACGTACGATGGCGGCCTCCCTTTTTCTCAGGGCAAGGAGGAGGCCCCCGACGAACGAGGCAAAGGCCGCCCAAGAAGAACGCGTGTCGACTGTGATTCGTGCCAAAATCGTTGGCAAACTCGCTCTCCGTTCTCCGCTCCCCTCCCTCCTCTCTTCTCTCGTCCGTGCTCTTTCGAGGCTCTCCCTCTCGTCATCGTCGCCGTGGATAATCGTGAAGAAAAAGGAAAAAGGAGGAGCAGAGGAGGTGGAGGAGGAGACGATGATCGCGAGACGTGGGCGGGAAATTTTGAGGGAGGAGGACGGAAGAATAGGCGGAAGAATGGGAAAACAAGAAGCAGGGGGGGGGTTACCAGATGGGCAGATCGGTGGAAAGAGGGGATTGATCCCACGTGCTCGATTGCACAAGTAACCCGGCGGTCGGCCGTCACTCTATTTTTAACAATACCGGCCGCATATTTAACTCGCACCTAACTCAACCTAATCTCTCTCTCTCTCTCTCTCTCTCTCTCTCTCTCTCTCTCTCTCTCTCTCTCTCTTCCCGACGATACGTTTCGTCGTCTCAAAGATGATTCCCTTTTTTCCTTATCGTTCTTTATCTAGATCCCGCGAAACGATATTAATCCCGCTGATGGAGAAAACATTACTTTCACTCAATTATCTCGATCGAAATCGATCGAACGAATGGTCGACGATTTTGGATCGTCGAGAAAGAGAACCAACTCCCCTCCTCCCCTCTCCCTCTCCCTTTCTCTCTCTCTCTCCTTCTCTCCCTCCCTCCCTCCCTCCCTCGGAGGTATCGCTAATCTCGCGGGTCGACAACACGTTGTCGCGAAGCGTACGAGGTCGCGCCGTTTATTTTCCTACTTGAGCGGCTCGGCAGAATTCATCTCGCTCGCCAACAACACTCGAAGAAACGGTCGAAGACGAACGACCGGTGGCCCAACTAAAAATAAGTCCCGCTCGAAGCCGCGTTTTTTATCGTGCTACTACGTTATGCAAGTCGATTCGCGAACTCGCGCCCGCTCGAGGTGGAGGAGGGAGGGAGAGGAGGAGGAGGAGGAGGAGGAGGAGGACGTTCCCCGCCGATCGAACAATTCGAACCGAATCTAATCGAGGAGATTCCAACCATAGAATTGTTTCGACGAATTGGAAAAGGAAATTTTACGACTCTCCTTTTACCCAAACTTCCCAAGCTTCCAAGACCGATCGATCGAGATTCTCGCTCGTGATTTACGTACGCAACCACGAGGCGGCTGCAACCAAGCTCCTGCCGTTCCACGTTTGGGGTCCCGCTGGTCAATTTGCGACAATTACCGAGCCGTTGCGACTGGTTAAAGTTAGTTAGTGCTCGGCTCGGTCTACACGATGCGCAAGCTAAGCGCGAATATCGTCAGACGTCTCTCTCGCCGTTTTCACGCTTCCTCTCTCTCTCTCTCTCTCTTTTTCTCTTTTCTCTTTTTTCACTTTCGTCGAGTTTAACCGGTGTTTAAACTCGCATCGTGTCCCATATACGATCTATCCCATGCAAGTTTATTTATTGGAAATTGCCTTTTCGCGTCTTTCATCCTAATTTCTTTCCTTTTTATATCCGTTGAACACCGCGTTCGTCTTATTCGTGGCGATATAAGATAAATCCGTGACGAATGATCGACGAGTTGACGCTTGTCCCGTTCAATGAAAATTTATTATTCGTGGCCCTGTTCACCGATTACGCCTCGCTTACGATGCTCGATGGGCCGTTTAAGCGCTCTTAACCTCCGCGATAACCTATATCGAAAACGAAATATCGAACGATTCGGCTCTCGTCCAGAGATCGGCCTCGTCTCCCATGTATTTCTACCGGTTGCGGAACGATCTCGATCCAGCAATTTTTAAACTTTAATTCCTCGATATCGTACGAAGCTTTCGCTCGATTCATTGCGATATTCGTTTATTTATTATTCGCAAACGGATAACGATTATTTTACCTAAAAGATCGCGAAATTCTTAGTAAGGGGAAAGTAAGTAAGATCGACCAGTGTGCTGGTATCGCTAATACCTTGGAGCAATCAAGATCGGCCGCCGTTCGGAAATAAACGATTTGGTATTTTGGCAGACGGGGTTAACTCTTCGGATTAGGCGATAAATAAACGTGCTCGAGAAAGCCCATAAAATGTGACCGTGGTAATGGCTCGAGCTCGAGCTAACCGACCTCGATCCAGTGCCAGTCATTCCCGATGCTCGAATCGGGAGGGAGAATTTTCATTGAGGGAACTCGATCGGTCGGTCGAGAAGAAACTAGTTTCGTTACTCTCGGCCAACCACGAGTGCGCGCTCGTTTCGCGGCTCGCCGACCGATCGAACGGCGCGTAATAATTGTTACGTAAGGAAGAGAGAGAGAGAGAGAGAGAGAGGGAGAGATGGAGAGAGGATCGCAAGTTAAAAAACCGTGGCCATGTGGGTCTCGCTCTCGAGGGTCAGGACCCGCGCGAACCAGCGCACGAGAGGGGGACGCGAGCTCGTTCGAGGCTTAAAGTAGGCCGTCCAAGATGCGAGCTCTGTCTCAGTCGTCCATTCAACCTGTTCGCGATTCGGTGATACTGCTATAGAAACCTATCAATCTCTTCTTCCATACTATCTTTTCCATTCCAATTTCCACTCCTTCACAATTTCTCTCGAAATCGACCAAATCTCTCCAATACCTAATATTCTCAGAGAATCAAAAGCCTGGAGGAGAATTGGATGATCCTCTTCCGGGAGGGAAAGAGAGAAAGAGAGAGAGAGAGAGAGAGAGAAAGTTGATCGCGCGGAGGTGACCAGTTTCCACCAGGTAGGATTTCTGCTTTCAGCGGTGTGGAACGCGAGGATGAGGTGTACAGCGCGCGTCAGCTCGCAGCACGTGACACCGAGAAGGCCGTGAAGCCGGAGGAACCGGCCGCCGATCCCGTCCTCGTCGAGCCTCTGCTCACGACCAAGCTTCGTCTCCGCGTCCAAGTGAACAACAACAACAACAACAACAACAGCAACAAGAGCAACAAGAGCAACAATAACCTGGAAGAAGCGACGTTGGACGTTGGAAACGAGGAACGATTCTCCCTGTCGCCCGCCCAACCGGAAATCGGCGTCGACTCGTTCGATCGCGCGAAACCGTTGACAGTGACCAGCTCGACTTTCCGCGCGGCGGACAACAAGCCGAGGAGGGCTGCCGTCCAGGCTCAGGACGGCTCGCGGAAGGATAACACCTTCCCGAGACCGGTCCAATCAACGGAGAAATCGTTCGTCGGTGTTCAAGCGCTGAAACAGTCTCTCGAGGAGTCGATCAAGGAGAACAGCGAGCCCAAAAAGAAACAGCAGTGCCGTCAGCAATCGGCCGGTGGCCGTGCTCCGTTCGAGTTCCAGGTACGTGTGTATATAATAATATACATAATATACATAATATACATAATAATATATATATATATATTATATATATTATATATATATTATATATATTATATATATTATATATATATATATGTATATATATATATATATATTATATATATATATGTATATATATATATATATTGTTTTTGGGAGTGGAATAATTTTTCGTGAACGGTGGCACGATCTTTTAGGGTAAACCCGCGGTGGAATACGATCCGGAGACCGCTGTACGCCAGGACAGACCGCACGTGGTCACCAGACACCTGTTCGCTTCCATTGCCACGCAGCAACAGCAGGAACAGCAGATCACTTGCAGACCACCGCCACAAACAGCGACTGCGAGTATCTTCGCACCTCGTACCGAGGACATGAACAAAGGCTTCTTGACTTTCAGCGAGGATCATCCAGGCCTTACGAGTGGGTGTCGCTTTCTCCCCCGTCTTTCTCGCGATTCTCTCGTCGTATTCTTTTTTCTTTTTTCTTTTTTTTTTTTTTCTTCCATCGTGTTAACCCTTTGCACTCCAGGCCTGTTTCGATCCAGCAAACTCGGACCCGCGTGTTCGTAAGATTGCCATAAGATAATTACTCATAAGATAAGATTACACTTCGTAAAATTATACGTAAGGAGGAATCTATTTTTACGAAGCGATATTTTAAAAGAATTAAATATAAATAGCAGTGGTGCTGGAGAGCAAAGGGTTCGATAACGGGGGTCCCTTAATGAGAGCGCGAAATTTTTTTCGAGACATTTCTTTTTCCCATTAGAAGGAACGTACGGACAATTTTGATAAACGTTTTAAGAGAATCAAAGAATCGGTTACATCCATTCCTTTTTGGACGAGGGAACAAAATTGGGAAAAGAGGAAAGAGAAATCCAATCCGTCCAACGATTTATTTTACTTTCTCGTTTCCGTTATTTCGCGCCATACAAAGCGATTTTTCCTCCCCTTCCCTTGTCGTTATTCGTCGAGCCGGAAAAGCAAACGGTCCGTTTGGAAATTTCTCGCACTGCGAAAATGTTGCAGTGCTGAAGGACGAGCCGGAGGACCTAACGCATCTGGCGCCCACACCTGGCGACGTATGCGTCCCCCTCGAGGACACGCCTTTCCTCTCGGAAATGCTCGACGAGTTTATCCTTAGTAGCGACAATTATTGTCCCCTGCTCAGCCCGGGCGGAGCGTTGGCCCCCGAATTGCGATCCACGGATTTCGGCGACCCCCTCAAGGACGCCGAGTTGGGCGACACCCCTGCGAGAGGCAAGGATCTGGGGGAGTCCTTGGCCGACAGCGACCCGTTCATGTACGGCGACTCGCCGAGCAGCCCTTGCAGCATCGATCCGACCGCTGTTTCACCCCAGCTTACCAAGTATCGCCAAGTGAGTCGATGCGATCGTTGATTAAGAAAAGAGAAAGGGATAAAAAAATCTCTTTTCTCTCGATTCCAAATTTATAATTGCGTTACGTTCCTTTTCTTATTTCGTCTTTTTCTTTTTTTTTTTTTTTCCTCTCTCTCTCTCTCTCTCCTCTTGGCAGAGCCCCGAGAGGAGCATAGACTCGTTGGGCAGCCCTACCGGTGGTAGCGGCGCCGACGGTTTGTCGGAGGACGAGATGTTGATGTTGGGGTTGAACGACAGCATAGCAGACGACGAGTTGGAGTTGAGGGCTCCTTACATACCGATGTCGGATCAAGACGAGGCGTTGGATCTGCTTATCAGCAACGATATGGTGATGTGGAGCCCGCCGCAGACGACGGATCAGAAGAACGGTTTGAAATGGTACGAGTGAGAAGCTAAATGAAAAAATGAAAAGCGAAGGGAAATGAAACGAAAGCGGGATGAAAACTTTTTTTTTTTTTTTTTTTTTTTTTTTTTTTTTTTGAAAATTTTGCGCGTGCGTGTTGTAGGATGTTGGCGGAGAAGGAGCAACGAACGTCGGATTCTAGTTTGGCACAGCTTTTGAAAACGGATCAGGTCGTCTCGAGAAAGTACAACGACCACGGTGGGGGTTTGGTGAATCCGGTCCAAGTTCTCGGCCAAATCCCTAGAAAAAGTGAGTGTCTTCGAGTCTCTCTTTCATATTTTATCTTTAGGAGTTTAGCAGTTGGATACAGGTGCGTTATTAATTAATTAAAAAATCGGCCACCGCCGACTGATGCACTCTCTTGTGTTGTCCTCTCTCAGATATAAATCTAGATAACTGCCATTGGTCCTCCAAAGTGGACAGACCAACGAAGCGTATTCACACTGCCTCGATAGACGTAGGAAACGACAATAAACGTATCAAATGCGACGAGTCCACGAAACGCAGCTGCCATCTGGAGGATCATCTCTTGACCAAACAACAACAACAACAACCGTCTTCGAGGAAATGCTCGCCGTCGAACAACCTCGGGAACAGTCAACTGCTGCGCCGCTTGGTGTCGCATCAAAACGCCCTGCGAAATAATAATTTCGCGAACGAATCGTTCGATGGTACGGCAGGGAACGGGCGGCAGAGCGTGAATCGAATAGACTCGGAGCTGGACGTGACGCAGGATGGGGAAGGAGACGGGGGCGGTGGCGACAGTAGCGACGGCGGCGGAAGGAATGGCGAGGGGAACGAGAGCGGAAGGTGTGGTCGGAACGGCGTAGAAAACGGCGACACGATCGGTCAGATCCCACAGCGGAATCCAGCGTGCAACAGCGTGCTAATGAATCTCCTGGTGTCCGGCTGCGATGTGAGTGCGGGATACGTATGCTTCGCGAAACCGAAGCCCTCCAAGAGCATAGCGAGCACGTGAACCGGCTCCTCGATCGCACCTTCGAACCCGCGATCGTTTCACTTTTCGATATGTCTTTCGCCTTTGGAACGCTGATCCCCTTTTTTTTCGTGGATCACGCGAAAATCGCGTTCCTAAAACGAGTGTTAGGGCCGCCCACCTTTAAGTTCGATTTAACGCCGCGTCGCGATTCAATCCGACCGTCCATCGAAAACGTCTTCTGCGTTTGATCGTTGATCTTTTCTTCTTCTTTTTTTTTCTTTTCTTCTCTTTTTTTTTTTTTTTTTCTCTTCAACCGCGACCAATCGCGAGTAGTAGTTCAACGGTCAAGGCCGATCGAACGGTAAAGGATCAACTTACGGAGTTAGCAGTTTCTGTAGAATACGATATCCTCATATTTCGCGATGCGGACAACGATGGATTTTACACGAGTTTTCTAGGAAAGTACGATATTCGAGTAGTCGTAATGTTACGCAGAGAGAGAGAGAGAGAGAGAGAGAGAGAGAGAGAGAGAGAGAGAGAGTGTGAGAGAGAAAGATCGAGCGAACGAGGGATCCAAGAGCGAGAGAAGAGTTTCGAGAGAGTATTTTATTAGTAGAGTATTCGAGATGACGAAAAGTACAAAAGAGTCGGAAAGTACGAAGATGTCGGCGAAGTACGGAGATAGACAGATAGATAGATAGATGATCGCTCGACGATAATTCTTTTTAAGAAGTAGGAGAAACTTGTTAGGCGATGTAAATTCGCTCGATCGTAAAAGCTGTTTAACGTCACGTTATGTATTCTACTTCAAAGTATATGAAATTGTTGATTGAAGAATTGTCCAAATACATTGAACATTGAACATCGAATCATCTGAACTGCTGCGTTTCGTTACCTCCTTTCTCATCCTTACGCTCTCCAATCGCCCTCCATTTTCTTTCTTGTTCACCGAAGATCGCGTCTCTTATACCCTTTCGATCATGTTGCATCCTTGGTTATTATACGCTGCTAAACCCACTTGTTGAATATACGTAAACGGCAAGAGAGCACGTGCCGGCGAACAACTCTCTTGCTGTTGAATCGTAACGAGCAGTAACGAAGGAAGCAATCGATCGTTATCGATAGCATTAGATTATTAAATTTTTTTTCTCTTTTTCCTTTTCTTCTTTTTCTCCTTCTTTTTTTTTCTTTTTTATTTTTTTTACATTTGTAAAACGTAGTATATATATATATATGAGATTATTTTCAAAGATTATTGGATCGATTGCCTTCTGTAATTACACAAATACATGAATTACTTTTTGAACGTGTCATGTGTAGCGAGATAATAAGTATAATGGCATCGCGAAATAACGATTCTTTAATTTACCTCGAAATAATAAACGATAGGGAATGATAGTTTTATATATATTTTTTTATGATTTATATATATATATATATACACCATTTATTATATTATATATCGTTTAATTAAAAATAATTCGCGCTCGAGTTTATATCGAGCTCGAACGAATGAATCTGTTTTTCGTAAAATGTTAAATCTTTAAATTAATAAAGCGATGATGTGCGCACAAATAGACGCGTAGAAGAAAGAAACGTAATATACATCTTAACAAAATCGACCTGGTCTCTCGCATTTTAAAAAAAACTCGCCTCCCAATTTCCTCGTCTCTCGTAAACGAAACGCAGCAGCTCTCGTTCGTTTTAAAAAGTATAAGTTAAAATATATATATATATAAAACGGCGTGCTCATGTACGGAGGGCCGAGGTTCGCCTTAATGCGTCATTAAACGTGGCCGGTCAGGCTTCGAGCCTAAACAAAAAAAGCGAACTCTCTGACGTAACGTCGTTAACGAAACCATCTGTCGAATATTACTGACCACGTCCTTGTGCAATCGGTATTACCCTTCTCCTGTCGAGGATCGATTAAAATAGCAAGACGAGAAGCCACGCGCCACGTTTAATGACGCATTATAAATAAAACTAAAAACAAAAAAATAATAATAACAATAATAATAATAATAATGCAGAACAAAGATAATAATGATCGAATTCTAAAGGTTGTTCAGGAAAACTTGATGGAGTCGCGGAACGTGCCCACGATGTACCCGAAAATATCCCTGATGTCCCCGCTGTCCGTGAACCTGGAGAATCATCAAATGGTGCCCCAGTGCCCGGATTCGAGAGGATCGTCGAGCTCGTCGTACGACCAACTGAGCCCAGCAACGAGGAAACAGATATCCAACAACGCGTTCATAAACGGGGGAGGATCGATAGTGTCGTCCCCTTCCTCGCCGATGATGCCGTTCGACGCGTTCGATTACGAAACGAGTATGTCGGTGAGCGGATTGCTCCAAGTCGAGCCGGATCTTTTTGGAACTCTGCTCGATCGAAATCTCGTGTAAAAGCTCGTGCTCCCGATTCGAAAGAAGGAAGGAAACCGGTTGGATCCGGTTTGTTGTAAAATCGGTTGGAAAAATACGTGGAAAGGATGAAAGGAGAGATACGGTTGCAATACGGAAGGATGCATGAATAATTGATGAAAAGGCAAAATGAGATGCCAAAGCGAGACGCGACTTTTCTTTTTTTTTTTTTTTTTTTTTTTTTTAGGTACACTTTAAAGACACAGTTCGGGGTTGTTGTTTCTTTTCTATTTGACCGAGTGCGAGTATCGTCCAAAAAAAAATATTGTATATCGATATTTTTTCATTGGTATAACTGCGCTTATAAATTCACGCCGTATTCGATCCAGCGGGATCCAGCGATTCTAGATTTTTCATGCGAAAAGTGCCAATGCATTTTTAGGATGTTTAGTGTTTAAGTATATAGTATATAAAGTATAATGAAAATAAGAAAGGAAAGAAAGGAAGGAAGGAAGGAAGGAAGGAAGAGAGAGAGAAAGATGACGGTTCTGCTATCGTAGCGCCGTTTTGCGATACATATATGTATACATATCTGACATTCGGTTGACTATAATAGAGCATAATTCCTCCTCTAATCCAATAATGATTTTAACCTACCTAACGTCAAATGAACAAAATATTCGAGTGGCGCGTTTCATCATCGAGTCGGATTGATCAGTTAGATAAAAATGAGGAAGAGGATAAGAAAGGGAATCCCGATCTCTCGACGAGTCGAGGATTATTATTATTGTTGAGAGCGAGAGAAATAATTAATAAAGATAAAGAGCGGAGAAGGATAAAGAGGGGATGAAACACGCATAGCATTCGTTTCTATTCTATTGCAGCCGATTGATATATATCGGCGATGATTTTTGACGATCCGTTCGCGATAACGATAATCATGTACACGTTTATTGCGAATTCTCATCGTTGTTGTTACTGTTTTTTATAGTTTTTAACGAAGCCAATCCGAGTATCAGTTGTTATTATCATATTATTATTGTATTATTATGATTTATCGTTTTGTGCACGTATTTTAAGAAATATTACAAATTCTAACGCAGTATATATTATATATTATATTATATATATATATATTTTTACTTATTCACTTATTGATACAGCTATTGTAATCGTGTAATTTTATTACTTTAATATCACTGTATTTTTATTATTGTAATAATCTATGATTATTAATCCTATCTATCTGCATTACAGTGCTGATATAGATCGATATTACCACGAGAAAAGAAAAGTTATGAGTAAATAAATAAATAAATAAATAGTCTTTCTAATATTTTGGTGGTGTTTTATTTAAAAAATTAAAAAAAAAAAAAAAAAAAAAGAAAAAAGAAAACAAAAATCCCCTTGTACGAAGTTAGAATCATTTGAATGAAACGCGTCTTGAAGTTATGCGCGATCGATCGAAATTATAGTGGGAAGATAGCGGCAAAAGAAATTGTAGCGCGAGCCACTTCAGACGTGACAACTTTGGCAGAGGTGTAAATTATTCATTGCGGCCGTTTGAGAAGAGAGATTATTAAGGGAACCGCACAAACTGTCTACGATGACGATCATAAACTGCACAATACATGGGCCTGGTAAATGGCGTTTATAGCTGGCCTTCCGTGAAAGCACTCTACTTTTCTGTTTTCTCTATGAACCTGGCCGGGCTGATAGCCCTCGCTTTTGCCATCCTCTGGGCCGTACGATTCGAAAGAGGCTTTGGCGATTATCTGAACCTCATCACTCCAGGTTGGTCCCTACGCACAAAAACGTTTTTAAAGTTGATTGATGACGGTCCAATGGATACCTACTGGCTATCCTTAATTCCCTCGATACCGAGAAATTCCCATAAGAACTTTTGAAACGTGGTATTAAAATATTATCTCGACTCTCTAACGATTTAGAATCGGACATTCTTGAGAATGCGTCATCCTTGGTTATCTATCTGTCTATCTATTGGATTAACGATATCGTAAATGATAGCTTCACAAATACACGAATTAAAGATCGTAATTTTAAAAGTTATAAAAAAATTAAATAAAAAAAAAAAATGAAATAAAAAAATACACTAGACACGTGCAACGTGTGTGTAATCGAGAATTTAAAAATTCGTGTTCGTATATATATCGGTGTATATATACCACTGATTATATAAATAAAACGTGTATACAGTTTTGCTTGCCACTTTTTCTCGGATTATTTTCTCCTAATACGAAATTTTATTATGAATTTACAATTTTACGTCAGAAGATTTTGTAATTTTATGGAATAAATATGAAAATATAATTGTACGAATACGATGTGATATACGATAAAGAGAAATACGAAGTGTATGTTTTGTCCACAAATTAAAGAAAGAAAATAAATGGAAAATTTAGTACCGGTGGCGCCATCTCGCGTTTGGATCACCGAAGCTCCGATTTGTTACTAGAATAACAGGATATGCGAGGAGGTATTCGTGACGTCACGCAGAAAGAGAGCGATCTTACGCGAGAAGGATAGAAAAGATCAGCCATTATACCTCCCACCACTTCAAAAATTACATTGAAAATTAATTAATAATTAGTTTTTTAGTAAAAATTTTTGCATTTTTAAGCTTGCATTTCAAAGTTAGAATCTGAAACAAGTTTCTGATATAAATTTTAATGAGAAATCGTTTTCAATTAATTATTAATTATCCATTAATGCATCGTATACGGACTGATCATCGTATCGATATGCGATATATTTTTCATTAATTTCACGTTATTATGAGATTTATTTATAAATATAAATGTATGCATTTCAAATGTTGTTTCTTTCCTTACATTTATTTATAATTTTTATTCGTAATTATCTTATTGTTTATACGAATAAATTAATTATTTATTATTCGATTATAGATCGAAAATTTATGAACATTTTCTTTGATAATTATTAATAAATAATTAATAGAAAAGAATTTCCCGTTAAAATTTATATGAGAAAATTTTTCGAGGTTCTAACTTTGATATGTAAGCTTAAAAGTGCAAAAATTTTTCTTAATTTATCAATTATTAACAATTATTATGGCAAGTGTATCGATCGCAAATCCGCATTGCATAATAATCATAAATTAAACAAAATTATTCATTTAAACGATAACAAACTTATAAATAAAAATGATGAACGTGAAAGTAGAGGAGAAATTAACGTTTTAGATATATATATTCATATTTAGAAATAAATCTCATAGTAATGAAAAAGTAAGAAAAATACGCATTGCGTATTAATGGCGTCGGTTCGATATAACGCTTTAATCGTTAATAAATAATTTATTAAAAAGAATTTCGAATTAAAATCAACAGGAGAAACTTCTTTGAGATCTTAGTTTTAAGATGTAAGCTTAAAAGTGCAAAAATTTTTATTAAAAAATTAATTATTAATTAATTTTCAATGTAATATTTTTGAAGTGGAGAGGGGGTATAGCGCCATGTTTTTTTTCTATCCTTCTCACAAATATCGTTCTCCTTCTCTGTGACGTCACGAATACCTCCTTGCATATCCTGCTATACTAGTAACGAATCAGAGCTTCGGTGATCCAAACGCGAGATGGCGTTGGTCGCAAAATTTTTCAATTTTTACCTAACTTATCGACGAAATAAATTTCGTTAACGGTTCGAGACTAATGGAAGAAAGACAGCAGAAATACTATAGTGTTCAGAAATATTTGTTCAAAAAGCATCGTAAAGGAAATCTGTTTGTAAGAATTCGAATGAAGGGTGTGAATAATACACGTGTATGCTTTAAATTAGACACGATTCGTACTAAAAAATTCTCCTATTTCTCGATAATGGTCATAAGATGAATTTTTTAGAATTCGCGTAACACATGTTCGTTTGTATGTGTGGGTTAACGTGCAGATCACGACGAGCAGGTGACGGTCACGTATGGACCGGAATAATACTCTCCACCGTCTTGTGCTGTTCTCCTGCCTATATCCTGGGAATCAAATGTTGGTTGTGCTTGAAATTAGAACCAACGAGGACCGATCTGGAGGATCGACATAAAGTCGACGATACGGTGGATCCTCAAGATATAAATCGACTTTTTTACTTCCACGTGGTTGCCTGTTTACTATCGGGATTTTTGGTAGCGATTTTAAATGCGACTTATTTGATTCTGTTGAGCGGGTTCCAGCAAAAAAGTCGCTATGGCTTGATAGAAGCTATTGAGAAATACGGTATTGATATTGCCGTAAAGGCGAGGGTGGACGCTGTTCAAACTGAACTAGAATGTTGCGGAGATAACAATTACGAAGATTGGTTCCGAATTCCGTGGCTTAAACTATCGATGGAGGGACCAAAGGATGTGCAGAAAGGTCCTCGACTGGAAGGGCAGTGGGTATAATCGAACCAATTGTCGTTTAACCTTTCTCTTACTATCCAAATTATTTTTTTCTTTTTCTCTATATATTTCTCTTTTTCTTCCTAACTCTTTTTTTGTAATAAATTTCTCTTCTGTATTCCTAATATTTGAATGTCTCCTTCTTTAAATCGTGTGATAAAGATCAGCACCAGAGGAGCAAGAGGAAGAAACTTCCACGCCCGTGGACGTACCTTTTTCTTGTTGTTCCAATGACATTCCTAAACCTTGTATTCATCACGACATTTTGAACCCGAGTGCCGTGTACGATTACAATCCTAAACATTTGACCATTAGTACCAGTGGGTGTAGAACGAAGATTATAAATCGAGGTGATGTTATTCGAATATTCTTGACAGGATACCTTGTTCTTTTACTTGTTTATCAGGTAAGCACATAAGAAGAAAGAAACGTAGCTTGAAGTATTTTATTACACTTTTTTTTTTTTTTTTATCTTTCAGATAATTTTATCGATTTTCTCACGATTATTGCAAACTGCTCATAGCAACGAAATGTACATAGGACCTCAAAAGACTCGTTACTACGTCTGGATATTCTTTAAGCCGGAAGATTTTCCTGAAAGCGGGGTAAAAAGCAAACTACGGTTGCAAAGAAAACGATCGAGAAGTAAGATTTCCACTACGTTCTCTAAAAGTTCGGACGAGGAAGAAATAAGTATGCGGCGTCCAAAAAATAGGAAGAGTAGTATGAAAGTTTTAACGAAAATTCGTTCGAAAATCTCCTCGGTTAAATCAAAAAGCGTACCTGTTATTAAATCTACTTTATCCTCGAAGAATTTTCGAAGTAAGAAAAAAATTACTCATCATCATCAGTTGGAAGATATAGATAAAGACGAAGAGGAGAAACCGGACGAAGAGAGAAAACTTCTTTCCAAAACGACTAGATCTGAGATTGTTATGCTGAAAAATCATCTCTCAATTTTTTCTTTATTGTCGGATGATTCCTCCACGTTAAATTTGCCGCCTCCACCGCCGCCGCCGCCATTATCTCCGTTTATACCTATCCTTGACGTGGAAAATGAAAGTAAACAAACCATCAACATCGTTGAAAATGTAAGCGAACAAATCACTAAGATCGTAGAGGATGAAAGTGAACAAGTCATTGAGATCGTAGGAAGCGAAAGCAAACAAATCGCTAAGATCGTGAAAAATGAAAACGAAGAAGAAATCGCTAAGGTCGTAAGTGATAAAAGTGAACAAATCGTTAAGATCGTGGAAAATAAGAGTGGACAAATCGCTAAGGTCGTGTCTTCGAAATCATTGGAATTAGGAAAACTCGATTTCCCGTTACAAGAAAGCATAGTCAGAATTCCAAACTCTGGTAGACGCGTAAAGGTATTAGAAAAATTTGGTAAAATTTGGGAACGCATCGATAAGAGTACGCAGCACAGAGAAAGCGGAGGAGCCGACATTTTGAAAAAAAATTCAAAAATTAATTATCTGAGAAAAAATAATCGTGTAAAGTTAAGCACGACCGACGTTTATGACAGATTTCGTGGCACTCTTCAGCACACACTGGCTAGAAGAGAAACCATTCAAGCCCAAAAAGAATTGAAAAAAGCGTACAATCCGAAAGTTGAAAACAATCCAGATATGAAACGAAGCCATGTTTTGGCAAGGATACGATACAACATTCCACCATCTTATCGTTTACTGGCCGACTTCGAAGCTCACAAAAGACCTTATTTACAAACGTATCCAAAATCATCGTCTGTTTCGCCCCTTTCGCGTCCTTTCTCGCCTCCTCCCCCTCCCCTTCCTTCTCCCCTTTCTCCCCCTCCCCCTTCTCCCCCTCCTCCTTCTCTTCCCCCTCCCGCTCCCCCCCTTCCTCCTCCTCTTCCACCTCCACCTTTTCCTGCCCTTCCTCCACCACCATCTCCATCAAATCTGCGACTAAAGCCGATACCGAAAAGACAACGACAATGCAGCATATGCAATCGTCCTGTTCAACAAAGCGCAACCTCTTCTTCCGAATCTCTCATCGAGGCTTACGAGAATACTCGAAGGTTTTCTAGTTCGATTCGAAGGAAAGCTTACGGCCCGTTCTCGTAGCGCGGCGATCGATCAAGAGGAGATTACGTTGCCGTTCAAATCCATCCAACGCAGGTGGCTCCCTTTAAGTAAAACGCTTAAACGTAGCAACGATTAAACTTAATATACATTCCGATCGAACGATTGTAAAGAAAAATGTAAATACAAGTAGGAAATAGTGGAAAAAAATAGAGAAAAAAAAAAAAAAAAAAAAATGATAGCTGGTAATAAAAATGTTAATAGAAGAAGAGGATTGAAGATAAAGAAAACACAGTCGTACAATACTTGATGGTTTATTTGCCGAGAAGTAAAATACACAGGCATTTGTTATAATGGTACTGCCGAAGAATACTTCTTACGTCTCTGTAATACATCTAGCGACAATACATCGGTACTAAAAAGAGAGAAGCTGATTTTTCATCAATTTGTCTGTTTACCAAATGCTTTACAATATTTGCGTACTTCCCCCCTTGTCTCTCATCATCTTTTGTGTTTCGTTTATTTTTTCTTTTTTTTTTTTTT